ATGGTAGTGACGCGTAAGCTGAAGCACGACACCCCGCGCCTGAGCATGGGCGGGATCGACGTTGCCATCTCGAAGCAAATTAAACTCTTGGGTTTGATAATCGACGAAAACCTTACTTTTAACGCTCATGTCACGGAGGTGTGCCGAAAGTCCATGGCCGTGTACCACCAACTGGCGCGCGCAGCGAGGGTGAGTTGGGGCCTGCACCCTGAGGTCACGAGGACCATATATACAGCCACTGTAGAACCGATTGTATTGTACGCCGCCAGCGTGTGGGCACCGGCCGTAAATAAGCTCGGGGTGCAAAAACAGTTAAATGTCGTACAAAGAGGCTTTGCCCAAAAACTTTGCAGAGCTTATCGCACCGCCTCTCTGAACTCGGTACTAGTGCTGGCAGGGATCCTCCCTCTTGATTTACGCGTTCGCGAAGCAGCATCATTGTACGAGGCCAGGAGGGGGGTACCCCAGCCAGTATTGGGAGACAGAGAGGTGGAAAAAAATGACACCGGCGATAGATGCTCCTCATCCCGCGATGCATGTCGACCTGGAGTATAGAAGCCTGGTGGACCAGGAACAGCTGGAATCAAACAGCAACTTCAATATCCGCATCTTCACTGACGGTAGTAAGTTTGAGGGCAAGGTTGGGGCGGCACTATCCATGTGGGATGGTGCAGCCGAAATCAAAGCCCTCAAACTTGCTTTGCCGTCATACAGCACGGTCTACCAGGCTGAGCTCCTGGCGATATGCAGGGCGACTAGGGAGCTCTTAAAACTTAAGGCACACAGCTACGGAATCTACAGCGACTCTATGGCAGCACTTCAGACGGTTACCAACGTTCGTTCCCTCCATCCCCTGGCGGTGGAGACGCGTGAAAACTTACAAACCGCCACGTACCAAAAGAAACTTGTTAATCTGTTTTGGATTAAGGCTCACGCAGGATTGGAGGGAAACGAGCGTGCTGACCGCCTCGCCAAGGAAGCCGCTGTAGGTTCAAAGCGCAAGCACGATTACGACCTGTGCCCGATTTCATTCGTCAAGCGAAGCATCCGTATGCGAACGCTTGACGAGTGGAATCAGAGGTACCAGAACGCAAACACAGCCGGTATTACTAAATTATTCTTCCCCGATGCGGTGGCGGCGCACAAAATAATCAAGAAAATAAAGCCGACTGGCATAACAACGCAGCTCATGACAGGGCATGGTGGGTTTTCCGAGTACCTGAACCGCTTCGGGTGCAAGGATAACCCATCGTGCATATGCGAACCTGGCGCACTCGAAACGATCCCCCATATTTTATTGACTTGCCCAGTATTTGCTAGTATTAGGTACAATGCAGAAATTAACTTGGAGTCCAAGATGGATAAAGATAGTCTACATAAATTCATGCTAGGCAAAAACAGAGATATCTTCCTAGAATACTGTTGTAAATTAGTTAATAAGGTAGTCAATAGAAACAAAAGTGTATAAGAAAATGTATGTTTACCAAATAGTATAATATTTTAGGTTAAACATATGTAAATTAGTATAAGATAAATTGTGACACGTAGTATATAAGGAAATATAATGTAAACGAAAAATAGAAATAAGAAAAACTGATGTAATAAATTGCAACGAACTGTTAGATATTAAGAGAGCATGTACTAAAATAGCTCTAACACAATATTGCCCCTTCCTTGATCCCTAAAATTAAATAAAAATAAAAATTATAATGTTAAGCGTAAAAAAGTATAAGTCAAGCGGTAGTAGTAAACCTAGAGATGTAGGCGGGAGTACCCACCCGTTAAAGTGTGAAAGAGATGAATGCTAGAAAGATACAGTATGCGGCATGAAAGTACGAGAGGCACAAATGCGAGAACTGGTATGGAAGAGTATAATTAGGTGTACAAAGACTCCCTCTACCATGTCGGAGGTAGTAGAATAAAAAAAAAATAAAATAAAAAAATAAAAAAAACCTAACCTAACCTAACCTAACCTTTCACCAGTGGTACGTCTTCCCTTCTTTGAGTTGTTCGGCCAATTACCCTGTAAATACCTTCCCACATGGATTCCCGGTCTTGCTTTCCGCAGAAACTCTTCCAACTTAGCGTTTGGGCTTTCCTGGCTTCTTCTTGGTAGATTTCTTTGGCCTGCAGATAGCTCTCAATAACCCGCTGTCGTCTAATTGGAGCCGCACATTTGATCCGACGCTTCTTTGTCGCGACCTCGCCCTTAAGCTTGAGTAGCTCCGTATTTAACCATGGCAATCCTGTTGGCTTTTTATTCTTTGCTTTAGCTATTGTTTCATCACATGTTTTTCTAATTGTTTCTTTAATTTTGTCTACAATTGTATCTAAATCTTTACTGTTTGCTATTTTATCTACTTCTTCTCTATTGATATTTTCATTTTCCCAAACTAGAGTCAACTTCTCACCGAAGTCTCCCCAATTTGTCTTTTTTGTATTGTACAGTCTCGTTGTTCGCTTAATGTCCATTCCTTCTGATTTTTCTAATTTCAGCTCAAACAGCATTGCGACCAGTCCCCCTTAGTACAGAGCACGAAATGCTTGGGATACGGGCACACTAAATCTATCTGCCGGGAGAAGGAAGACCGCTGTAGCCACTGCGGGGGAAAGTGCTCCAGCAGGCTGAAAGGGAAACCTCCCAGATGCAGTAACTGCACTAAAGCCCAGAGTACCAACTCGGCTCCATCACACAATGCTTTCAGCAATATGTGCCCCGAAAGAACAAAATGGGATGCTATAGCGCGGTCGCGAGTCTCGTACTGCTAAGGGCGACCACGACGACCAAAGCTCACCTCCCCCTAGAGACAACAAAAGCAGGCTGCTGTAACAGAACACACCTTCCACAAAATATTAAAAAAATGAATTAGCGGAAACTCGATGTATAAAAATATAACAGTAATGAATTATTAGTGAAGGAAGTAGGCAATTTTTTTAATAACATCTAAATGTAAATAATCACATTCGAAGAATTTCAATAGCAAATGACTTCGTTGAATTCGTCTCAGTTCAGACACTTGAGCTGCAGAATAACACTTAACAATTAACGTATGAATTATCGGTTTTGCTGAGTGTATTTTTGTTAGGGTTGCTAAACTTTGGTAACTAATGAAATTAAATTATTTAATAAAATATATAATAATACTAATAAATTAAATGCATACTATCATTATTTATGCGAAAGTGTGTTTATGTATATATTACAGATAAACAATATGATAAAGTGAAATTAGCTTTACTCAAAAGTGTGTAATTTAGATTCGCAAAGCATAAAAAAAAA